ACTACTGTGTGCGTACACCTTATCATTTTGTTTGTTGTAGCTCTCTTCTACGGTAAAAATTTTTTCATCCGAAAAAAGAATTTCCCGATATTTTTTTCCCGCGTACCGCTTCAACAAAGCGCGGCATCTCTTCAGTCTCAGGTCCATTAGACGAGCATTCAAACGATGTCCTGTTTTTCTTCGATATGCCCGAAGCCCTAAGTCTTCATTTAACACCCTTTTCACCGTGGTTCTGCTTAACCCCATCTGAAGGGCCAACAGTTTCTGCTTACGTTTGGGATTTCTTTGAATTCGCGCCTTCACAGCTTTTATCACTGCTGGAGTCCTAACAGACCGAGGGCGACCACTTCTTGACCTGTCATCTACACTAGAGTCTTCATTGTATCGTTTGATGGTACGATAAACGAATCTTTTGGTTATATTCAAATTTTTCAGTATGTTAAAAATTTGAATTGGCGCGTAACCGCAACGATGCAACGCAATAACTGCAACACGGTCTTCTTTAAGCGTCCACTCCATATTTAAAAATGAGTAAAATTCTAAAAGTATACATTTTTATTTTCATGAACGATTCGAAATTCGAATTCAATAAACTTTTTTGTGGCCAGCATTCTAAAAGAAAAGTTTTTACTGTGTGACAATACTTATGGCCTGACTAGTTACATATATCTATAACTATACATACAAATACACAATGTAATATAATAATTATTACTAAAAATTAATGTATTGTCACGATAAAATTATTATTACGTGTGCAAATTTTGAAGTTAATCGAAAGTTTTGAAATTGATGAAGATTACGTTCAAAGATTCCGTTACAAACAAATGTAGATACCAAGCATAATAAAAGCTTTTTCATACAGATAAAAGCTATTTGTATTGTACAAAAACATACAGAAAACTATGAATTATACTTTTGTTCTTCCTATTCAACAAATACAAAAGTTAAGGAAATAAATAAAAAAAACTCTGAGCATTCTCTAATTAAAATAAAGCCAACAAGTAACAATGAAATAGGAAATCTTTCGACCGGACACTAACAAAGCAATAATTGTTTATTGTAGCGCTAAATTAATTATTTCCTTGTAGTTATTGGACCGGCGTCTCCCCTCGTTTAATTACAGAAGTGGCCACTACGTGTCGCTACCGACGACTAATTGACCAAAACGCACACTAAGTATACTATTACATCGAACAAATACATAGTTCAAACCGATCTAGAAATTCAACAAACAACAAATCCTTCTTTGTTTTTGTGAGTCGACGTACCGCGTGAGGTTAAATAGTTACGGAATCCCTAAGAGTGGTGGGACAGTTCTTAGACTGTATAATTGAAATTTGGTAAAGATCACGTCATCAATCTGAGTCAAAACTTTGGACGAGGTAGTGAAATATACTTAATGTAAAAATAATATTGAACTAGAGGTCCCGCAGTAGTCGAAATTCGACTATAATTAATTGGAATTGTAAGTTTGTACACTATTATGATTGTATTTTATACTTCTTTAATCACAAATTTCACCAAGACTACACTATAAAAAATATTAACAAAGACAAACAATATTTAATCTCAATTTGACAACAGACGTCAAGAACAAAAGTTTGACAATAAAAAGTATGCATGCGTATGTGCGTTAAATACATGGTAGGTATGTAGTGTGTGTAATGTTTTCTTTATTGATTTAATGTATGTTTTATGCATTATTTAAAAAAAAAATTAGCATAGTGCACTTCTTCTCTATATTCTCTATAAGTGTGGGAAATTTCATACTCATCCGTCCGCGCAATTTTCGTAAAAAGGGATACAAAGTTTTTGCTTCACGTATTAATATATAGATTACTAAGTTAAGCTTACTTCATGCTTTCATGTTCTTTGTGAGCCTGTAATGTATGAGAAACATAGTTGATTTTCATACTGTATGCTTCATTACGCGCAAAACATTTTTTTTTCTTTGCGGCTACAAAGAATTATCGTTAAAATTATCCGGTTTATCTGGCCTCTGGCTTAATGAAATCTAACATACCTACTGCTCACTATGAACTGCAAAAAAACGTTTCCCCTAAAAACAAGAGCTTAGCTAATGGAAATTAGCTTCCTGGACTAATTGCTATGAATACGTTTAGCATAAATCAGGGCTGTTTAAAAAACATGACATGGAGAACAAAGGCTATCGAAATAACGACGTTTTAACGCAGGCGTATTATCACGATTAGAATATGTGTTGAGGGCTCACACAGCGTTTGTTTTATAGGACGACTAAAGTAATTATCATTTAATTTAAAATTATGCAAAATGTAATCTTCGGAATAAGTAGTGTGACTCGGTAAGCTAGAGAACAAAATCAGAAAATCCCGAACACTTAGGAATTAAAACAGTGCAAGAGGAATGTGAGGATGACATCCTTAAAATAAAAAATACTGTAAAATATATCCTATAGTTCAACCATCACAGCTCATAGCTCCGAACATAGATAATACACATAAATTAGTTATAGATAGCAACTCAAGCACTTAACTAAAATGTTTACGGGCGCCGGCCACTAGATGGCTACGCTTCGATTAGTTTCTCATTGTTCCTGTTGATGGCAGTAACATATTTATTACCTATCCTCGATTTTATTATTAATGAAGGATTTTGTAAATTTTCGGAAAAAAACAAATTTATAAAATTTAATCAATTTGTCTCTAACAAATAAAGACTTGTATGATTTTTTTTTGTGGGTTTAATTATACAATAATTAAATGCCTTAACTTTAACAACATATAAGCTTAAGGCATCCGCTAGAAGATGTCGCTAGTTTCCATACGAAAAAATATTTCTCTTTAGTACCGCAGTTTCAGGGCTCTGGCCTCAAAGTTATGTCAAATGCATTTCAAAGCAAGCAAATCCATTGCAAAGTAATCCTGTATAGTAAGAAAAGGAGGTAAGATGAAATAAACAAATGACAAAACTATAAACTGACATTAATCCGCATCAAACATCCATGACACTTGCTCATAGCATTGTAATTAATCACTGTACAAATACTAACGTATTGTTTGGCCTTCCTTAGATTTTACTAGTGATTGTAGATGTTGAACTAGATGGGAATATGAGCTCACGGCCAAGCTAGCGTTAAGTAATGAACAAAGCCCCTAAACATGATTACGTACGTGATGGCACCTACCTTGAGACAGGCTAATAGCATTACTATATGATGTCTATAGGTTGTGGCGCCCTTTAAATCAATACGCATGACTAGCAAGATGTTAATAACCACCCGTGTGATCACTTCATATCATCAATAATTACTTTATTTCTCATTCATGCCCTTATCCCACTATGTTGAGTCGGCATATTTTCTTTTCCATTCAAGTCTACTAGACTTCATCTCTGCGCTCATACCATACCGCGTTACCATCTATTATCATTAGTAATTACTCAAATTCATATACTTTGAGAATTCGATTTTAATTACGTGATATTCTTTCTTAATCTTTTCGAGAAAAATAAAACAAGAAAAAACACTATAAACATCATGTTGTTTTATTAATTGTCGATGAATTTCCGTATTACAATTTTCAACAGATCTATATTTATTTTTGTTTTTTCAACTACACTCCAAAGATATTACACAGTGTAGGTAAATAAAACTATAAAACTCATTTCAAAACTGTATAAAAAGATCAAAAAGCATTTCTTGAAAAATTTACTATCGTCATTCCAAGACATTTTATTTCATCCTAAATTAAATCTATTAATAAGTGTATAACTCATTAACCATCTTGATATTTTTTTGTTTTGATCGTTAACTTTTCAGTCCGCAATCACAGGCTATAATGATATTAATTCTCTTCTTAATAAATTTTATTTACCTTTAAAAATAAGTATCTTAGTGCCTGTATTTTGGCAACATTAATTTATCATATTAAATAAAGGAAAATTAGTTATAAGATTGATCAGAATTACTTCTGCTGTCAATGTCACAGATAATAAATAAGAGAAAATTAGCTAATTTCTTTTCTACTCTTAAAACTTGATATTCAGTTGAAAAAATCTAGACTCGAACCAGTATTAATTAACAAATCAGATACAGTTCTAGAGAATGAGTAGTTTAAGCAATATGAATCCCTTTTATTGTATATTATTAACTTAACAAATAATTTGGTGATTCGTAATCGAAAACAGACTGTTCTTGTTTCACAACACAAGAAATATATGATAATTATTTGCAACAGTATTAAACTGTTTATTCGTAGAATTTATAATTGCTCGAACATTAAATAACACTATGGTTTTACGTTTTCATTTTTGATATTTTAAGTTCTTCATTGTCACGAACAAAGAGGTGATTGATATATTATATAATAATAATCAAATCTTAATTTTTCTAATTCAAATTTTAACCGAAATTATACTATAAGTGTATTTTAGTGCCTGAGATTCCCGCAGATCCTAAAAACTATACCTAGGAGATAATATCTACATTAATTAAGTATGAAGTTATGGTGCCAGTCGCAGGCCATACATATAGTATTAAATACACGTTCATATAGATTTAATAAAACACAGAACTGTACTCATATACTCGCACTAATTTATCCAGACTTGCCAATAACTAGAAATAATTTCTACCAAAAGGGTTTAAGCGTTGAAAAAAATCTATACAAAATCTATACAGCTATAAAATGCAATTTAAATCGACTTAAATTGTTTCAGTCTTATAAGCGAATAAAAAATGCATCATATCTAGAAGCTAATAGATATTTGCGAATAAAGCAATATATTAACCGAAATGCACACACCAATATTGTTTCGAGGTTTTAAATTATTATTAATTAGGCTATGTATTTTAGTTCGAATATTAACAGTAATTTGTTTATATCATAAAATTTATTTTATGTATTGTAATGTATATAATATGTTTATTATAAGTCCATTTCTCACAATGTAATACTCAAATTAAGATTAGACATGCAAAAATATAGGATATTAGTTGACGCCGTCAGCAGAAAAGTGGCTTAACCCAAAATTTTTCATATTCGGGCTTGCGTATTTATTACATTATTTAAAACATAATAAATTTTGATGCAAAACTGGCCTTTCAACAAATGGATTTGTAAACATTATTTTTGCGCGTATTGTTTTTGCCTACGAAGCAGTGTACAAGCAAATTCAAGCCTCGTTATCTCCATACCAACTATGGTAAGCTTAAGCTACTTTTGCGCTGACGACCTCAATTATTGCGTCTATTTCATTGCTTGATGAAAACATCAAAAATAAGTACCATGGTACCAATGGGACTAAAATAAAAATTCTGAATTAGTTTCACTGGGTAAATACCTGTTTGAGTCACAACCTTAGAAATACAAAATAATAATCAAAATAACAACAAAAAATTTATAAATTTAGGAAATACTTAGCAGTGTAAATATCTATTTTCATATTTCTAACACATTACCTTAAGTACATTGCCCTTCCTTGCGTTTTAATTTTTTCTCCGAATCATGGCAACCCTTAACATACAAAATCAGCTCTGAGCTGGCTACAAATATTAATTCAGATCTATAAAAACATGTTTAACTAGTTCTTTTCTAAATAAATTAAAATCTTAGCGTTAGTACTAAATTTAATAACCAAGTCTTTAAACAGTAATTTTCACAGTTATTTATCCCGTAAAAATGTAACCGAAAATTAAATATAAATATGTATATATTTTTGTACTGTTGCAACCCCGGTACTCCATTTACTAAAACTGCGATTTGTTTCACATTTATCGTCATCACTACTATTATAGTAGATATTCTTATCAATAGCAACACTTATAATAATGTCAATTTTATTGCTCATACGTATTGCCGCGGTGCCGGTCCATTTTTCCTCGAATGCGGTAGTGTGTCATCATTGTTCCCGGTGTTATTGTTGTGTAGAAATGACATTTCTACTCCAGGGTCTGATCCCTGAAAAGCAAAGGCAAAATTAATTTAAGAGTTTTTAAAATTATTACAACTACCTATACTTGTTATTTTATTATTAAGTTTTATTCCCAGAAAAAAATCTGACCTATTGTCAATTTATGGTGAAATCCTGGGCATTTCTTTTTTTTAATTTGATACCAACCTCTGAATGCATAGGGTTTGACGTTATAGTGATCGGAACTTTGGCGGGAATGTAAGCATTAGCCCCACCGCCTTCCAATGATGAAGCGTTCTCTTCTGCAAAAAAAATAATTACAACTTTTATACAATACAATATTCACTAATACACTAAAACAAGCTACCTAAGATTATTATTTTTCAAACTGGAAGTAGTTAGTGATCGAGAAGAAAGCCCGACCGTAATACAGCCACCCTTGTGGGCCATTTGTTTTTTTTTTATTTCCTTCCTATTCGTTTATAGCCTATGAACTATTCCAGCTTCTCTCGCTCAGTTAGGTGGGCTCACGGGCTCAACCTGAGAGTATTCGCTGACACTAGCCCTAGCAAGAGCATTGCTTCGCAGAACATACCATAGGATCGGAATCGCGACCTACTGAGAAGATCCGGCTGAAACGCTTTGCATTACGGGTAAGAAGCGAATGAAAATACTAAAATAAAACTCGCCTTGGTAAATGAATAATGTTTGTATGAGGGCTTTTTATTATATACGACTTCAAAACACATATTATTCTTCTATTCCTATATATCTTGCAATATTTTTTTATTGTATTTTAATGAAAACGTAATAAGTCTCTCATTTAATTCGGCACAATAGACAAAGTGTGTATTGGATAACGATCTTGTGACACTAAAAATAGAACGGTCTAAAACGACACTTTTATGCACGACAGGTTCCGTGTTTTTTTTTTTCTTTTTTAATTAAAGTCGTCTTTTATACGATTTTAATTAAAGACGAAACATCCGTGACCCGTAGCTTCACTACCAAACGAAATCGGTAATTTTATTTATAAAATAGGAGAGAATCATAAGAGATTTTCGAAATTATCGGTTTTTGCTTCCCAATAATGGTCAACTTGATTTGTTTATTTAATAAACTGACTAAGAAGAAGTAAATATACTTCTTCTTGCACTAACCAACTGGGCTTAGTTACCAATTAACAATGTTACAGTTTGATTCAAAACATATTAGGTTCGGCCTCGTGCCTGACCTCAACGCTCTTTGGGAATAAGTGGCCTTTTATTCGCAAAAATAAATTATTAGGACGCGTAATTTACTTTAGGATGATAAAGTGAGTAATTGAAGAGTAGATCATATCATCTGAATATTGTACTATCCACATGCCAATATTTTTAAAGCTATTTCTTTTAAAATATTTTTTTTTCTTTTTCGACGGCAGTTCTTGATTACACAGTAGATCTTCTTTTGACACCGGCTAGTAAACCTACTAACGCACTAAGGCTTTGACTCCCCGTGTGAGTTAAATTTTTATTTGTGTTACATTGCGTGCAATAAAATAGGCATTGATTGCTATTTGCTATTGATGACGGAGTAAATGATAATTATATGTATTTTTATATTTAACTAGCAAAACAAGCAATAGACTGCACTGCGACTATCGCGTAATGTACAACAAAACCCCTTTTGTTAACTACTCGCACGCCACTTTTCATATATTGCTGGTACCTTGACAAAGCATATAATTTACTAGCAGCCCGCTCCGGCTCCGCTCGGGTCTTTAACAAAAATTTCAACGATATATGACGTTGTTTTATTTTTTTTAATAAAAAAAACACTTATTGCGGCGTAACTATAATAGTTAAACATAATATGCTGTCGCGACACTTTTTGTAAATAATAATGTGTTCTACAAATTTGTAGTATATTATTTTAAGAAATCAATTTCAAATCAAATATTTTAGAAATCATGAATATTTTTCGCAGGGCACGCGATGTAAAGAATATTTTAGGTTATTTTTTTACACCTTGGATTACATTGTTGGAATTTTAGTAAGAATCCCTTTTTTTTTCAAAAATGATTATAGCCTATGTCACTCGGGAATAGTGTAGCTTCCAAAAAGTGAAAGAATTTTTCAAATCGGTTCAGTAGTTTCGGGGCCTATTCAATACAGACAAACAAACAAATCTTTCCTCTTTATAATATTAGTATAGATACGTAGATAGATAGTATAGATAGATATACGTGGTTCATCTTGAAAGTCGAACCTTACTTCGGTGATTAGTTCTACTCTGAATTCGTGTTCGTGGACGTAACCATTTTAATTGAACGTAATTGGTATACTATTCGTTTCTAATATAAATAGCTCACTTATCGATTATTTACCGATACAAATCACATCTAGCGTTTGTTGTCCGAGCTGGGTTTTAATGAGAAATTGACTTAATGAGTTTTCTTAGAAATTCGTTGCTGCAAGTTATTTGTGAAAAACGATTCGATTTAATTAGTCTTCTTGACAATCGACTGTTAATTGGCGAGTAGTGCAATCTCCAACATGCCGCCTTTCAGTGCGCTGCCTCATATAGCCGCCCTTCCTCTTAGATCCAGACATTTATTGATGTCGATACATATTTTTTTTATTGCCTTTGTAGGCAGACGAGCATACGGCCCACCTGATGGTGAGTGGTTACCGTCGCCCATGGACTTCAGCAATTCCAGGGGCAGACCCAAGCCGCTGCCTACCGTTTAATACTCTCCACAAGCCTCGTTTGAACAAGGACATGTCATAGCGCTCGGGAAACATCGTGGAGGGGAGCTCATTCCATAACCGGATGGTACGTGGCAAAAAAATACCTCTGGAAACGCACTGTGGATGACCGCAGTGGCTCCAGGTAGTATGGATGAACTCTACTCCGGTGGCGGGCGGTGCGATGGTAAAAACGAGATGCCGGTATCATCTCGAACAATTCCTGTATTTAGATATTTTGATCTTCCTCTGTCTTCGCGCGGAAGGGTAGGTGAGTTCACGGGTTAAGCCTGAAAGAATTTGCTAATACTAGCCCTAAGAAGAGCAGCGCTTCGAAAAATCTACCATCGGTTCGGAATCGCGACCCACTGAGAAGATCCGGCGAGAAACACAGTGGGCTGTGTCTGTGGGTTGTCGAAGTCTTCGTCGTAATCGACAAGGACGATGACCGGTGCTTGAGGGTATTTTGATTGGCATTGGAGGAGTACAGCTCTCCTTAAGGCAATGCTCACTGTGTTGGACATTTTCTTCGCAAATTTTTTGCAGGTGTTGAAAAATTAAGTAGAATGCTCACTGTGTTGGACATTTTCTACGGTTATTCTTTGCAGGTGTTGAAAAATTAAGTGGAATGCTCACTGTGTTGGACATTTTCTTCGGCTATTTTTTTGCAGGTGTTGAAAACTTAAGTGGAATGCTCACTGTGTTGGACATTTTCTTCGGTTATATTTTGCAGGTGTTGAAAAATTAAGTGGAATACTCACTGTGTTTAGGCAGTCTCCTGGCTCGCCGACACATGAGCGCGGCGAACAGCGCGGCGACCAGCACGCCGCCCGCGCCCAGCGCCGCGCCCAGAGCCACGCCCGCGCCCCCCGCGCCCCCCGCACTCGTCGCGCCCGCCTCCGACACCGGCGCTGGACTCGTCGATGTCGGCGCGTTGGATAGCTTCTGGGTCTTTGCCACCTGTATTATTTCATTTTTATAAACCACTTCCATTAATTCATTCGATTCATAGTACTGTCTACACCAGGGGTTTTTGTAGCGCGAAATGTCTTAATATTTTAAGCCAGTAAAAAATCGGAAAATTAAAATTTCGTCATAACAAAGAGCAATCTGCCGCTCACTTAAATTCAGATAGCAGTCGATTGGTGCTTGATTGATGATGCTGTTACAGATGGCACATCCATCACATACGTGAACAATCTAACGTTGATGACTTTCAAACTGGTGGTAGGACCTCTTGTGAGTCCGCGCGGGTAAGTACCACCGCCCTGCCTATTTCTGCCGTGAAGCCGTAATGCGTTTCGGTCTGAAGGGCGGGGCAGCCGTTGTAACTATACTGAGATCTTAGTACTTATATCTCAAGGTGTGTGGCGCATTTACGTTGTAGATGTCCATGGGCTCCAGTAACCACTTAACACTAGGTGGGCTGTGAACTCGTCCAACAATATAAGCAATAAAAAAAAACTGACTTTATTTTCAAACTGACCTTAATAGCGCTGAATTCAGAAGGGGCCTGTAATGTGTACGCCCTGAGCTTCAACTCATATTGAGTATCGGGTGAGAAGTGGTGCAGCTCTAACGAACGAGCTGATGCAGGAGCTCTCACGCACTCGTAAGCTCCCGCAGAGGACACCGCACGCACACAGAGATAGAACCCTTCTGTCTCCGCACCATCACCACGAGACCACTACAACAAGGTAAGCCCAAGGTGGAGGTTACTGGTGGTAGGACCTCTTGTGACTTACTGGTGGTAGGACCTCTTGTGAGTCCGCACGGGTAGGTACCACCACCCCACCTATTTCTGCCGTGAAGCAGTAATGCGTTTCGGTTTGAAGGGTGGGACAGCCGTTGTGACTATACTGAGACCTTAGAACTTATATCTCAAGTTGGGTGGCGCATTTACTTTGTAGATGTCTATGGGCTCCAGTAACCACTTAACACCAGGTGCGATGTGAGCTCGTCCACGCAAATAAAAGCCCACTAAGCATCTGGTGGAAGAATTCTCGTTTTGACGTCCGTAAGCTCCATTAACTATTAAACACGGAGCCATTCGTGAATTTCTTTAAAGCAATCAAAAAATAGCATAACAGTCCAACTGATTCCATGATTAACTAATCCATGGCCATCGTATTTCTCGAGGAGAGTTGACGTGAAGCAACCGTAGGTGAAGACGATGTAATCTGTGGTATTTAGTTGAAGAAGTAGTTGTGATAAAACTCATGTCCAATCAAAGCTTATAATTTAATCACGTAATGTTAGAATAAAATATTATGTGTAAGTACGTCTATATTAAAATATTTAGAAACACTAAAGTAGTCAGAATTATAGAAATATAATGAAAATATGTATTATAATAAAAAGCGTATGATCGTAAAGCCATTAATTACGTTTATGAAAAAAATATAAATATGTATTTTTGAAAAAAATATAAATTGAAATTATAAGTTTGTACATTATTATGGCTCTATTGCTGTCAGACTTTTAAACTTCTATAATCACATATTTCGCAAAGACTACACTATAAACAAATAATATTAAAGACAAACTATATTAATCTATTCTCAATTTGACCACAGACTATAAACAATAAGAAAACTTTGACAATACACAAAGAGTATAAGCGTGTGTGTGTCATATACATGGTAGTGTGCGTAANATTTTACTTTATATTCTTAATTTTATGAAAAATGATAATATGGAGTGAAATGAAATGAAGATGATTAATTTGAGACATTAATCAACTGGGATGAAATTTAATGAAATGAAATGATATGGGATGAAATATAATCGCAGTAAAATGGTGGTCATTTACTGAGATTTTTTCAGTGGACTTTTTGGAGGAACCCGAGAAGTTACGTCTAGCAGCTTTGTTTCATTTTCCCACATTTGTGCACTTTCACAGATATTAAACAGTTAATAAACCACCATTATTACACATTTAAACCTGAAGAAACACTAAATAGACAAAATAAAACAAATCACACAACTTCACTCCTCGCGTTCCCGCCAAAAAGTCCTATATTAATCTATTCTCAATTTGACCACAGACTATAAACAATAAGAAAACTTTGACAATAAACAAAGAGTATAAGCGTGTGTGTGTCAAATACATGGTAGTGTGCGTAATGTTTTTTTTTTAATTAATTTGATGTATTATTAATGCATAATTAAAAACAATTTTAACATTCTGCACTCCTTCTCTATATTCTCTATAAGTGTGGGAAGTTTAATACTCCTCCATCCGCGCAATTTTCGTAAAAAGTGGTACAAAGGTTTTGCTTCACGTATTAATATATAGATTAAGGTGTATTCGTACCGTCCAATCTGACTGTAGGCTGTGAGGCGAGGTGGCTTCAACTTTGGTGAGTACAGGTGCACTGGGCCCTTTGTAGTCGCCGCTCTGCAGGAAGAAACGCGTACTGCTCCGACCCTGATTGTTGTCTTGGTTCGAGTACACCGCTGCTATTCGAAATCTGGTCAAGAATTTGCGGTAGTGTATTTAAGTATGTACTTAAAGTTAATCTATACATATAAATAAAATTAGAGTGTCTGTTTGTAATATTGAAATAACCGCTTTTTACTACATTCATATATATACGGTACATACACCAAAATAAATAAAAAATCAATTTTTTTTGTCTATCTGTCTGTCTGTCTGTTTGTTCCGGCTAGTCTCTGGAACGGTTGGACCGATTTTGATGAGACTTTCACTAATAGGTAGCTGATGATATAAGGAGTAACTTAGGCTACTTTTTTTGACTAGCTTCGCCCCGCGGCGTCACCCGCAGTTATTGTCGTACCGCGCGCAACATGGCGGGACTCGCCTATCAATAATAAAATTTAATGTTTCCGAAGCGAAGCGAGGGCGGGTCGCTATCTAATTTAAAAATGTGTAAAACTAGAAAGTATAAAAATTACGTGCAAAAATTAACAGACATTTAACGCTATGACTTGTTTTGAAAACTGTTTTATTATAATAACTTCGTATATAATTTAACTGGTTAGCTTGAAAATTTGCACACGTATCAAGGACAGCTGACAATAAATTTTATAATTTTGGCCTAACATCCTTAATCAGGGTAAAAACTTTCATTTAAATAGAAAGGCTCGGCTTTCTATATAAGCTTGTTTTTTTTAAAGCCGATATTTTATTATTTAGCATCAAATTAATCATTTGAACTTTAATGCGACTTAACTAATTATGTAACTCAGTTATTTTCTTACGTACCCTTTGCTCAATGCTACTGAGTCATGTATGAAATTTTCGGAAAATTACTTTTTACTCTATTACTTACTTTTTTTTCCTACCTATGCTGATAGCCTTGAGAGGCTATTTCAGCTTCACCCTAACGTTTGTAGGTGAGCTCACGGGGCTCAAGTCGGAGAGTTGCTAACACTGACCCTAGCAAGAGCAGTGCTTCATAGAATCTACCACCGGATCGGAATCGCGACCCACTGAGAAGATCCGGCGAGAAACTCAGTGGGCTGTGTCTATGGGTTATTACTTACAATTATGTAGTTAAACATGTGTTTACTAAGCAGATATAGTGTATTGTGTATCTTACCGAATACCTAAAATGGTCAAACATACCTATAGTACTTGTCCGGTGTGAGACCGTCGACTTCATAAGAATGTATGTGTGGAGGGATTTCTTGCGTCAATGTATTCCACTCTTTGCTCGTATTCGTCGCTTCTTTGTACTGCACCTGAACAGACAATAAAGTCTGGTCTGTTTTTTCAACATTCACTTCAATTAAAAAAATCCTAAATAAAGCAATTCGATTTGCTCGTCGTGACGTGCAGTGACCAAATTCCAAAATATGGCAGTTGTATAAGGCATGTGTAATTCGCCATTCGTGCCATTGATTCCGTTACTTCAGCTCGGTTACGTCTTGACCCATACACAGAGAAACTCATCGACAGAGGCACGAAGTGAGTAGCACGTGAGATCGTTTACCAATCTGCTCTAAGTGCAATGAGCTTCCGGTAACGGATGAGTTCTTTGCATGGTGAATATATCAATGACACTACAAAACAGATGGATGCGATCGGTGGACTGTAATTTCCAGAAACTAGTCTGGTCCAATGTCAACGGGGGGATAACCTTTGTCCGGGGTTGGTGCGCTTTGCAAGTTACAGCATAAATAAGTTTAAGGATATTATCTGAAACTTAAGCACTACGTACGTTACAGTACCAGGCAATAAATAATGCACATCGATACTTAGAAAGAGACAGCCGTCTAATTTTGTTTTTGTTGTAGCGCGTTTCCTGTGTGCGACGATACACTAACGATTCGGTATCTATGGAGACTGAATGTCAATTAGGTAACGTGCGACAGATATAACGCTCTACGAAGCAAAAATTAACCGTCTCTTTTCCACGGTCGATGTCCAATATTTATCGCCGGGTACTGTATTACGTGTTTGATTACTGTCGGTAAATTGGTTCGCAATTTCCAAGGTGATGGTTCAATGCTCAAAATAATATATCTTGCTGATGGTAGGGCGACTTGTGAGCCCGCACGGGTAGGTTCCACTGTCTTTTTTTATCGGGCGAGGTATGTGGGTCTTGACAGTCTGATGTTAGCGACAGACCGCGGGTCCAAAGATGCTTTTAGACTCCTACCGACCAAACGACTCCAGCTACCACCGCCATGCCTATAACCACTCAACCGAACATCGTGGAATTTACCGAAAGGACAGGGAAATTTTATCCAGAAAAAAAACTTCATCATGATTGGTTTTCTTTCTACCTTAAAGCGAGGGACACATTGGTTAAAGACTAGTATAAGACAATTTTGAGATCCTTTGTTTATATTGAATACATCGTTTTCAATTATTTCACCGAACAATACGAATATATAAGTTTCTATATTTGTATATTTACGTTGAAGTATCATATTGTCATTTATTTCTTTGACGTTCTTTGATGTTTGACGAACACTTTTTTTGCTGACATTAAAACGTTGTCTTCTTTACAAAGGGCAACTTTATAAAACAAAAAATAAATACACGAAAGTTATATTTCTTACGCTTTGTTTACGACTCGAGTTTTATTACTTTCGAGTTTTGCGAATGTAAATTATTATTTCGCGGTACCGTGTGGACGGGGGCTTTGAAAAGTAAAAAAAAATTATTCGTAATCATTTACTGACGACAAGGGCGGCTACTTGCACTTAAATATTACATATTACAATATAAATATTACGTATTTACTGGTGGTAGGACCTCTTGTGAGTCGCACGAGTAGTTACCACCGCCCCGCCTATTTCTGCCGTGAAGCAGTAATGCGTTTCGGTTTGAAGGGTGGGGCAGCCGTTGTAACTATACTGAGACCTTAGAACTTATATCTCAAGGTGTGTGGCGTATTTACGTTGTAGATGTCTATGGGCTCCAGTAACCACTTAACACCAGGTGGGCTGTGAGCTCGTCCACATATCTAAGCAATAAAAAAATAAAAAATAAATATTGTCCAGAAAATTGGTGAAAAATCTAAAATTTTACATAAAATTATATCATTTTCAACTTAAACTTTTATTTTAACCAAAAATTTAGATTTTTTTTTATTCTTACTGTGCAGACAGCCTTAAGAGGCTATTTAAGCTTCGTCTTGACGTATAGGTGAGCTCACGGGGCTCAAACCGGAGTGTTGCTAACACTGACCCTAGCAAGAGCAGTGATTCGCAGAATCTACCACCGCATCGGAAACGCGAATCACTGAGAAGATCCGGCGTGAAACTCAGTGGGCTGTGTCTATGGGTTAATTTACTCGTCGAGCCCTTCGCGGCAAGCGATAGGTTCGACGAAAACGATGACCGGTATCTAGGAGGTACCTAGAAGCACCAAAATTTGATAAAAGCTTTAGTACGAAAGGAGAGAAGAGTATATGATGAGTGAGTGCAAGGTAATAGTGATTTATACAATGTTTTATTTTATTACTTCAATCTATGCATTGACGACATACATATGATACGTATTACAAATATTTACGGCATTTACGTTGTTGATGTCCATGGGCTCCGGTTACCGTCCAATCTAACTGTAGGTTTTATAGTTATTTGTGCAACTGCCAAATTTTGTAGTTTGGTCACTGCATTTCACGACGAGCAAATCGAATTGCCTCATTTTTATTTATTTTTTTATTGCTTGGATGGTTGGACGAGCTCACAGCCCACCTGGTATTAAGTGGTTACTGGAGCCCATAGACATCTACAACGTAAATGCGCCACCCACCTTGAGATATAAGTTCTAAGGTCTCAAGTTTAGTTACATCGGCTGCCTCACCCTTCAAACGGAAACGCATTACTGCTTCACGGCAGAAATAGGCAGCTAAGCGGTGGTACGCTTACCCGTGAGGGCTCACAAGAAGTCCTGCCACCAGTAATTACGGAAATTATAATTTTGTGGGTTTGATTTTTTATTACACGATTCACCGTGGAAGTCAATCGTGAACATCTCTGTTAAGTACGTATTTCACTAGAAAAATTGGTACCCGCCTGCGGGATTCGAACATCGGTGCATCGCTACATACGAATGCACCGGACGTCTTAAGCTAGGATGGGGCCCTTGGGCACACAAGAATTTGAGGCCCTTTTGGAAAGTAAAAAAAGCGAATTATAATAACATTTTTTTACTGAGTACGAGATCATAATTTATTATAGGTAATCAAATACAGTATGATATAATATGTCATTAATGATATTAGAATGCTGCTGGTTTTTTGGTTACGATTTCGATAACGGTTTCTTTCGGGATTTCTGTTGAGCAAAATCTTCTATTATAGGCATAGTAATACCTTGTAAATACCTTTTGATTACTGATTTGTGAAAAAAGTGTAATGCGCCCGACAAAAATGTTTTGAAAATAAACGTGTGAGAGAAATTGTCGGTCTTTCGGGGCCCCTCGAGAATGGGGGCCCTGGGCACGGGCCCCGTGTGCCCTTATGGTAAAGACGGTATTGCGAATGCACCGCACGTCTTATCATTTAGGCCACGACGACTTCATAATATAGATATAGGCTTTAACACCTTACCTTAAAAAATAATATGGGAAGTCCTTCTCGTGGCTGTGTCCAGGACAGCATCACACTCTGGTCGGACAGGCGGGTCACGTTAGGACGCGATGGTGGCACCATCACTGGTACAACTAAATCAAATAGGTATTTAAAAACATAATATACCTTAAAATGTAAAGCTCCAACTTTTTGTTTATTTCAGACATCAGACTTTCTCGTCCTGTCGTTAGTAATCGTTAGTAGCCTAAGAGGGCGAACTGATAGATGAGCTCACGGGCTCAACCTGAGAGAGTTTGATAACACTAACCCAAGCAAGAGCAGTGTTACGCAGAATCTACCACCGGATCGGGAACTCGACCCACTGAGAAGATCCGGCGAGAAACTCTTAGCGTTTAACTCTTCGTTTTCTTATAGTTAACATTTTCCTCGCGACCCACACGTCTAAACATAAACCTGTGTTTGGCAGACAATTAACAATGAAACATATCTTACTCTTATCGTTTGATTGTAAACATAATTTTGTTCACAGCACCCAATATATTTTAAAAGAATCGAAATCAGTTTTAGAGAGACAGCAATTAAAATTTTACAGGCAGAAGAGAACAATAGCTCTACATTGTTAATACGCGATATATGTCTGTCTCTCACAGCCGCACTGTAACAATAATGACGTCATAAATCATGAAACTCATCGAGTTCGCTAGATAATTATTATTGAAAAAACTGTATGCCTTGAAAACTCTTTCAATCGATTCAAGAATATGTTGAAGATCCATCTTCAATTATAATTATTAATGTCAAACTATATCTATATTAACTAGATGATTTTTTTTTTTATAAGGCCATCTTGTTGTGTCTTTAAAGCGGTTAGTTGCCCTCAATTAAGAAAAATAGTATCATTATTCGCCAATAAACATCGGGAAGAGTTGATTATTGAAAACACGAATAGAACAACATTTTCTGAAAATAAATCGTAGCTAGATCGATTTATCGCCCCCGAAATCCCCTGTATACTAAATTTTATATTATGAAAATCGTTGATTTATGACAAATTCACCTTTCTGCTTCCTTGAATTCTTCCTGTTATGACGTTTAGGAAGTTGCGATGATGATTGCAAAGTTTTCGGCGTTTCCATTGAATAATCCTGCACAAAATTATGCTAAATTAATACAAATCCAGAAATACATAGTCTGTATTTGTTTTGATTTAAATCTGTTCCCTCGGCTTTTGAAAACAGTTGAATTATTGAGCTCGTTCATTTCGTTCGTTCATTTCTCTGTCCAAATCGTTCATTCTTATCTTTTAGTCCCATAGTTTCCAGTGTTGGACATAGGCTTCCCCCAAGCCTTGGCATAACGACCAATCCTACGCTGTCTATATTCAGCGGATCCCCGCGAGCCTCAATATGTCGTTGATCAACTTTTTTCTTTTATTGGTTAGATGGGTGGGCGAGCTCACAGCCCACCTGGTGTTAAGTGGTTACTGGAGCCCATAGACATCCACAACGTAAATGCGCCACCCACCTTGAGATATAAGTTCTAAGGTCTCAAGTATAGTTACAACGGCTGCTCCACCCTTCAAACCGAAATGCATCACTGCTTCACGGCAGAAATAGGCAGGGTGGTGGTACCCACCCGCGCGGACTCACAAGAGCTCCTACCACCAGTAAACCAACCTTGTGAGAGACCTACCCAGATTATCGTTCATTTACTCCCCACTAGTTTAGTACCTGGTCCGATATCTGCAGCGGAACGACAGTGAGCATGGCCGCCAGGAACGAACACCCGAGCTTGTTGCACGCGAAGCACTGAACTATCCCGGCGTGCTTCTTCTCTAGGTGCTCGATATTCAGGTCTGAATCTGCAAAAACAATTACTTTAAGTCATATACCCTAGCTTAAACACCCTAGTGGTCGACATCCCGCGACTTCTTGACTCTCCTCCTCTACGACTTTTCCGCCGAAATGTTCCCGTATTTAATTGTTATGGCAGGAACCCGACCCGTTGGACGGACCAGATTCGTGCAGCCCTGGATACCACAGTGCACGATGCTCTGCACTCAGCTGCAGATAGGAACAGATGGCGGTGCACTATAAAAAACAAACAGTTTCAAGGCCATGACCACGATCCTCAGTAATGAGGAAACCTATGCAAGGAGGAGACTTAGTTCTATAATAACGTATCTTACTAAAGCTAAGCTTAAATAAAAAAAATACTCTTTGAATAAATATTAATGGTGTATTATCTATATTTGGCTTTTTTTTATTGCCTAGATGGGTGGACGAACTCACAGCCCACCTGCTTGTTAAGTGGTTACTGGAGCCCACAGACATCTACAACGTAAATGCGCCACCCATATTGAGATATAAGTTCTAAGGTCTCAGTATAGTTACAACGGCTGCCCCACCCTTCAAACCGAAACGCATTACTGCTTCACGGCAGAAATAAGCAGGGTGGTAGCACCTACCCATGCGGACTCACAAAACGTCCTATGCTATAACGACTTTTGTTGTTGTTAATTATACTAATTTTAGAAGGCACCAGACCGCGTGAAAGTGTGCCCATGCGATGGACCCACCAGATCAAGTCGGCAGTTGGCGGCTGTTTGCATGAGTGTACCAGGCTCACCACAAACCGGGAGGAGTGGTGAGACGCATAACATCTGCCCACAACAATGATGCTGGATGACGACCACGACCGCTCTGACAAGAGTGAAACGAGATACGAATACGAATACTAATTTTGGTAACGAATCGTTTACCTGTAGCGGTGACTCCGGTACCGGTGCTGACGCGTTCTCCGTTCAACACCCAGTAGACCTCGGGCTGGGGGTACCCGACGGCGTTGCCGCAGCTAATACTGTCCCCCTTGCCCTCCGTGTCATTGGCGTTGGCGGCGACGCCCTCCCACCGGGGCGGCTGCAACACCACCACCTTCCAAGACCTACGTATGCCGTTTGCTGAACACGAATAAATACCCTGCGAAAGTGTTTATGCACAACTTCAACCTCTTAAAATTAGATACGAAAATGCACAAGACATACACGATTTTATTACCAAAACTCACCATTCCACTACTTTTTCGTGACTAAGTAATAAACATACAAACCTTCTGATTTATATTAACAGTACAGATTCTTGCACTATGAGTACACGCAATGGATATAAAAGCACAAGAAATTGTATACTACAAATAAGTCGTCTATTATCAAAGATGGCAATCTGTGCATTTGGACAAAAAAAAATTATTGATATGTCAATACAGATTGATTTGAATATAATCGTCTCCTTCAAAGAACACGGTTCAAAACCTGCATTAAATAAAGGTTAATACTTAACCTGTTATTTATCTAAGATGTCGTTCAGAAGAGTTTTGTGACTGCCAATGGAATACAAAGTCAATAATTCGTTTTTCTGACTTACCAATAATTGTCCAAAAGTCACATTGCCGCCTTTGATAATAGTCGACTCAAATATGACTGCGAACGATGAAGACATGTTAATAGCATGAACGACATTGTGTGTATGTGTGTACATTATTCGTCCTCAACCTTATTGTGAATAGACTTATATATAAGTACAATGCGTGCTCGAATCTATTAATGAACTATATGTTCTTAACAGTGAGGAACTTCCATCCGTCGTTTGTGACAACACTGAAACATTGACCTAAAAATTGCACACTAATAGAGTCCAAAGATCTTTCACTTGAAAAATAAATATGTTTTCTTTGAACTTACTTCATCGGCAGCGGTAATGTTCGCAATAGTAAGTATCGCATGATCGTGTCTTTTTGGCAGCGGCGTTCTTCCTTCCCTGGTCCAAGTGATCTTCGGAGGAGGAACTCCGACCACTCCGCAATACAACCTTAAAGTTCCTCTCGGCTTTATTGGCATCGTTAGCACATCATTATCTTTGACCCCTACATAATCTTCCGATTCCACGAATCTGTAATATAAATAAATGCCTTTATATTTTACTGGTGGTAGGACCTCTTGTGAGTCCGCGCGGGTGGGTACCACCGCCCTGCCTATTTCTGCCGTGAAGCAGTAATGCGTTTCGGTTTGAAGGGTAGGGCAGCCGTTGTAACTATACTGAGACCTTAGAACTTATATCTCAAGGTGGGTGGCGCATTTACGTTGTGGATGTCTATGGGCTCCAGTAACCACTTAACACCAGGTGGGCTGTGAGCTCGTCCACCCATCTAAGCAATAAAAAAAATATAAAAAAAACATTTCATCATCAGTGTGCGAGTTTTTTAACGTTCTCGATAGCGTAAAAGTTAGCTCATATTTGTATGGAATGGGATCGTTTGCCTACGTTTGCCGTTAGGGGCGCTGTTCCAACTGCATACAAAATTGGGCTAAATTTTACGCTATGGAGAACGTTAAAAAAACTCGCACTAAACACACTAAATGAAATCAGAAATTGTTCTACTTGATATATATGATGCAATGGTGGGTGTAGTGGGACCTTTCCCGAAACGTAAACATTTATCATCATAATGTGTTTATTGCTTGTTAACATTACGCGCAATGGAACACAATTGAACATCAACTGACGTTCTTGGACAGCGAGCATTCTAAAAGGCAATTCAAGCTCAGTTTAGTAAATGAACAATGTTTTCTGTTTACCATGGCCGAACAGTTTATCGGCGTTTCGGCTTCGTGAACAATTCCAATACCAGGGTACACGTTTCACTTTTTTTTTTAATAAAAAATTTCAGCGTATTCGGTAAAAGCGATTTTTGGGAATATACACGGATACTATATTCCTACGTATTGCTATCTATTAACGAGCCTTTTGAATTCACACAATAGCGGTTAATTCAATACAATTTAGACATCAGCCCCGATTTTCTCAATGTCGGCGAACTCAGCGATACAACATTGAAGTAACGCTTTAAGTCGGATCCATTGGTTCTTGTTTCTCGTTGAATGATCCAGATACATAAATGAATGACTTTGGTTTATTCAACTCCAGCATACCCAGCTAGCCGCATTAAATGTGCGAATATGAGTATGAGATGCGGCAGATTTCCCCCCTCCTGTCCGGAAACAGATCCTTACGGTACTATAGAGTTTCCTTCGATTTCCCCAAGACTTAGACGTAACTGAAACCACGCTACGGGTTTATCTTTTCCTAATGTCACGATACGACCAACTGTCTATGACCACGAAAACCTTTATGTATTCGATTTTTTCCCCACCTATTCACTGGTAGCTTAGAGGGCTATTCCATCTACCCCCAGACGGGTAGGTAAGCTCACGTACTCTACCTGAGAGAATTCGCTAAAACTGGCCCTAGCAAGAGCAGTGCTTCGCAGAATCTACCACCCGATCGGAATCGCGGCCCATCGAGAAAAGCCGATGAGAAACTCAGTGGGCTGTGTCTATGGGTTAGTTCACTCGCCGCAATCGACGAGTTTTATGAGAACGACGACCGGTAAGTATTCGAAACCTTTGAAATAACATAACTATATTAAAAAATATTAATATAACGCCAAAATAAGTTTTAATCTATATATTAATACGTGAAGCAAAAACTTTGTATCCCTTTTTAGGAAAATTGCGCGGACGGAGGAGTATGAAGTTTTCCACACTTATAGAGAATATAGAGAAGAAGTGCACTATGCTAATATTTTTTTAAAATAATGCATAAAAGATACATTAAATCAATAAAGAAAACATTACACACACTGCCATGTATTTGATGCACACACGCATGCATACTATTTATTTATTGTCAAACTTTTGTTCTTGACGTCTATTGTCAAATTGAGAATAGATTAAATATTGTCTGTCTTTGTTAATATTTTTAGTGTAGTCTTGGCGAAATTTGTGATTATAGAAGTATAAAATACAATCATAATAGTATACAAACTTACAATTCCAATTAATTATAGTCGAATTTCGACTACTGCGGGACCTCTAGTTTAAACAAAAGCGTGTTAAAATGCGTCTTGACTGACCTGACTTCTCCGGTATCGTCACGTTGTATCTTCAGCACAGTCTTCTCAGGTAGATCCGCAGCTTTCAAGCTGAGTTTGTTCGTGGCCTTGCAGCCGTATGTGCCGCTGTCAGATAACGACGTATTGTGGATCACCAGTACACCGTGAGGAGTTTCTATTGGCTTCTTAGAACCCTAAAAATAAAACAACACACTTAACTTTAAAATTTTAATTGGTTTTCGACAAAACCAATATACCGTTGCGATATACCTGTGCTTTTTTTATTTTTTATTGCTTAGATGGGTGGACGAGCTCACAGTCCACCTGGTGTTAAGTGGTTACTGGAGCCCATAGACATCTACAACGTAAATGCGCCACCCACCTTGAGATATAAGTTCTAAGGGTCTCAGTATAGTTTTAAAGCATTCGTTTCTCATTTAACTAACTCGATCACCTAATTGAATAATAATTTATTTTCTTATTAAAGATATAAAATCTACTTCGGGACAGTAGTGACTTCCGTCACACGCATTTTTTTTTGTTGCTTATATGGGTGAACGAGCTCACAGCCTACCTGGTGTTAAGTGGTTACTGGAGCCCATAGACATCTACAACGTAAATGCGCCACACACCTTGAGATATAAGTTCTAAGGTCTGAGTATAGTTACAACGGCTGCCCCACCTTTCAAACCGAAACTCATTACTGCTTCACGGCAGAAATAGGTGGGGTGGTGGTACCTACCCGTACGGACTGACATGACGTCCTACCACCAGTAATTGCGCAAATTATAATTTTACGGGTTTGATTTTTATTACACGATGTTATTGCTTCACCGTAGAAGTCAATCGTGAACATTTGTTAAGTATTGTATTTCATTATAAAAATTGGTACCCGCCTGCGGAACTCGAACACCGTCGCACATACGAATGCACCGGACGTCTTATCCTTAGGATGTCTTATACGAGGCCACGACGAGTAGTAAACGCATGAAGTAATGCGACATAAATAGACCTAGGTAAGTACCTAATGATCATAATTGATTACGTCACTGTGAACCCAGAATAGATCAAATTTAAATACATTAATACGCACTTTTGTACTCTCTTTCCACCAGGTCAGGTCAGCGGGTGGATCGGACAGCGGTTGTTTGCAGTGAAGAACCACAGTATTATGCAATGGTGCAGTGATGACGCGTTTCTCAAGACTGTTCCTGCTTAAATCCAGGCTCGCTACACTCAGCTTTGCTGGTACCGATACCAATATCACTGAACCGTACAATACTACGCACTGAAATAAAAAGTATTCTACATCATCATAAAACCGAAAACATTACCAAACTCATTAGTACTGAAAAAGGGAACACTAAATTTTAACAACCCAAAAAAAATTTTAGGCTATCAAACGATTTACGTAAAGTCCAGAAAATATTTTTTTGGATATTAAAATTTCATCTAGATAGCTTTTACATTTGGAGGCCGTAAAATTTCGAACATTCAAAAAATGCCCGGTGTAAATATTCGGTTAACAATTTATGTGAATTCGTTCAACTTTGACTTTGAATAAAGTAAAAAGTTTCTATATAAATATTCAGATAATAAAAGCGATAATAAAATACGTAATAGGTACTTAAAAATTAACAGAACCAAAATTTGGTACCTGATAAAAAGCAGTTTGTGTATCGTCTTTCACTTCGACGGCCAGACGACTTGAGACTTCAGTGGATTTTTCCTTTCCTGTCACTACTTTCTCCCAGATACCTTCAGGGCCGTCAACGGGTCGCGTTCGCCAAATCAGCTTCTCAGCCGGTACGTCCACTTCACACTCGAAGGTTACCGAGTCACCGACAGGAGCCGTTACGGATTCTGGATACTTTATGAAGTTCATGTCGATTTCTGTAAAACATGCAGAGAGAATTCGAATATTAATTATAAAAGCTAGCCGTAATAAACCTTTATTTTTGGACCGCGCCGGCCAAACCCCTTTGAGGCTTCCGCGCCTTATATGTGGGACTCGGAGGCCAAAGATTTTAGAGGCCTACCCAATAAACGACCCCTCTGCATTCTCGACTAATTCCTAACCCTCATAGAACCCGAGGTAAGGGAGATTTGGCGGTCAACACTTAGCAGCATTATACCCAGAGGATCGTCATCCGTTGGGGTGAAGTGATAGAAAAAACTCTACACTATACTGGCTTTGGGGCTTTGCTTTGTTCAACTGGCTGCAGCCGCAACTGTATCCAGCTGGCTGCATTCAATGCGTGAGTGTGAATATGAAATGCGGCGAGAATTCCCTCTTCGGAAAAAAAAACCTGACGGTACTATAGAGTTTTCTTGGGCTTTCGCGAGTCAAGATATTATGTAGAGTCGGTAGATCAGAGATCCATTTGATGTCGTCGATGACCACATTTCTATTGTCTTATATTTTATATCTTCACTAATGTTCTCTATTAACAAACCATCGGGCTTAGACAGAGTCAACACTGAACTGACTCACCCTCGCATGAAGCATATTAGCAAGGATATTACAGGAATTTCAATGTATTACGATTAAGAAACCTGTCCACGTTTTTTTTTATTCTTGTTGCACGAACAAAAAATGCTGCCATATATATTTTAAGCATAACGATGTTCGCCTTATCGTAGAACGCTTAAACGAAAAAGTGACGCAATGCGATTCCGACCGAAAGGAGTTGTAATCAGAATCACTTTTTATTTGCATACCGAGAGCCAGACCGAAACGAGAAAAAAAAGAAATCCTGATGTCCTTGATACCTTGTTACCCACACTTCGATCTTGTGTGACGCATGCAACAATGCTGTGTGTGAGCTAAGCCCGTTAAAATAACAACCTTATTCTGAAGCAGGTAAAGTTGAAATTATTTATAGTCCTTTAATTGAGATGTATCAGGACGTTTTGTTCGTTTTTCTGGACACTATTTATGTGATTTGAGCTCCGACGACGATGACTTGTTCATAAACATAGTTTCTGATTTAAAGTA